GAGCCATGGGTTATTTGTTGTGAAATTATCGAAGTGTTCGTCCCTTCCATGACTACGTACTTATTTGCTACTTGCCTAAACTGTTTTACTTGCACATCTTAGTTGTCACGTGCTTTATTTGTCATGTTATTTTTCTTATATTTGTTGCATCCCTTTGATTATTACGTGGTTCTTTTATTGTCGTCCACTTATACCCTTTGATTGTAGAGATTCTTGTAAATTGGGTTATTGGATTGTTATTGTTATTGCTAATTGAAATTGTTTGTGGATCGGGTTGCTCGCCGCGACGGATAGAATAAGGGAAGATAATGATATTGATAAATGATGATACGGTGGGATCGGGTTGCACGCTGCAACGGGTGGAATGAGGGAGCATGATAATATTGATAAATGATGATACGTTGTTGTTGTTGTTGTGTCTTGTATGAGTCATGCATCCTACGTGAACGGTTGTGTTACTACAATATGTCAATATGTGCTCTCGTGGTTACTTGGTGAATTGATTTTCAAGATGAATTTACTGCACGAAGTCATCATCTCATATGGGTTATTACAGCTGGTTCGGGCTTATCCAGAGTATAGATGTGAGAATCTGATCGTATTGAAGATTCCAGAAGTGGAAATGTGGTTCTATGATTTATGGGCTAGACTGGATTGTGAAATTTCAGTTACGATGTTTTACCGGACCTATATGAGATAGGGTGACGTGGGATCACCCTCGGGTATATGCGTGGTAAGGTTATTCGGCGATTGGTTGTGTCACTCCCCAAACTAGGGGAGGCACGACTGGCACTCGATACTGTATTTGATCGAGTTAGCCATTAGACATACTAGCTAACTAAACTGGGGGCCCCAACAGATCGGTCAGCACAACATCTGAAATACTAAGCCTGGACCATTAAGGTCACGACCTGAATAACAACAAGCCATATAAACAAAGGTAGACGAGCCAAAATAATAAAGTACTAGCTGGCCGACGAGGCCGCGATTGGAGACATACATGCCTACACACACATATTTACATGCCAAGCCTATGGGCTGGAGACTGAAAGCTGCAAAAAGAAACCCAGAATGCAGTGTCCACAATAGCCTCTAAGAGTGTCATAAGCACTGTCGAGAACAAGGCCCCGACTATACCCAAACTGTACAACAAAAGTAACCATCCTATGAAAGCTCCAGGAAGAGGTGGAGCATACCAACTCACAGCTGAACCTCGAAATCCTAGCGGAGGGGTCGATCAGAGTCCCTACCAAGACCTGTACGCACGAAACAAAAATGTAGTGTCCCCAGGCAACGGGACATCATTACGAATAAAAATGTATTGGTATGTAAGGCAGAAAGTAGAATCATACATAGCTGATGAAAAAAAAAGTAATAGAGATACCACTTGACACTGAAACTCTGATAGCCTCCATGGACGACATCCGACCTCATAGTAATCAAATATGCATGGTATGCTCGTGTAATCGTATGTCGTGAATACATATATATTGATGCAAATGAATGACATATCCAACCAAATGCTAGCAATGGCGGTCTCTTCCGGTAGCTAACCGGTATCATATTGCCAACCTGTGGCCATCTATACAATATATATAGTTTTTCGGGAAAATAGGCCCCTTACCTCCGATTATAGCTCGAAGTCATGCATAATATGCCATGTATGATATGAAATTTGAATGCACATAATAGGCCATAACAAGAACTTAGCCAATCTTGGCTCATTGGTACTCTTATTCTCATAATCTCATAATCACCTTCGTATCGCATAAAATTGTCTCGTGGAACCTCATATGTCTTTTTTTTTCTTTTGAATAAGCTTGAAAACTTAACTCAACTTTTAGAAAGATAACTTAACTCTGAAGATGTTGATAAAAAGCTTAAGGTGCTTCACTCAGTCCTTATACCTGATTTCTTGATATTTAGTAAAAGAAGGTATTTCAAAAATCAAGTGTTTTAGTAGTTTAAACATAAAAATTATATTTGAGATTTTTTGAAATTAACGTGTCACTTTAGAGATTTTAAGATACACTTTAACAAGGAAGAAGGACTGATCGCAAATACTAAATGCCTTTATTTTCTAGTCACACAACCCAAAGACGAATAAGAATTCATATATATAGACATATAGTTAAGAAAGCCGACAAAATGACATATATAGATGTCGAATACCCTATTTAACCGAACGAGTGGAATATCAACCTAATAGCATTATGAAAATACTTCAGCTACGATCCAATGCCTTTCACAGAAGGTCTTTCTAGCAATAGAATAGTAAAATATCACATTTAACGTCTTAGGAATTTCCCAGACTTCGTGCTAAAAGGAAGGATAGAGTTTAGCCTTAACATACCTCTCCAACGAACGTCCGAATGCCTGTAGTTCTTTCACGAAAATTGTTCCTTACGTCCTAAGCTTCGAAAACACTATATATATGCAGGTTATACGCACCTATAAACAGTTCATAATTGAGTTTAAATCGGCAGATTTGCCATATGACCCTAACTTGACGAAACGTCCGTAGAACTTTGTAAAAACGATCATAAAAGAGTCCCAAGAGGATTACCTGGAAAATCAAGTATAAATCCTGAAGAACCAGCAAGAATAACAAATTCCTATCTTCCAAGAATAGCTCCAAACACAGCTAATAGAAGGGGAAAATGATTGCAAAGCGTAGAGATTGCGTTTCTAGGCACGGGGGCAAACTTTAACGGTAGAAATCGTTAAAAACGCACCTTAATCACTCAAGAACACCATGGAACCTCCTCTTCAGCTTTATTACTGTTTTAGGACGAAAATGAAATGTTTTTAGGTCTGAAAAGTCGAATTTGCCGACTTATACTTGTTTGACCCGACCCGGTTCGCGACCCGGTTTCAGCCTGGACAGTCCGCGGTAAAATAGTCATAACTTTTTTCTCCAATGTCGGATTGATGTGAGGTTTTTTTGGTTGCGATCTAGACTTGTAGACCTTCGATTCGGTAGGTTGTGGGTCCCATAACTCTTTATATATTGGGAGAAATGATCTGATACATTTGACTAGGGGTGTTCATGGTTCGGTTTGGATCGGTTTTTCCCTAAAAAGAAATTAAACCAAGTAAGTCGGTTTTTGAAATATTAGAACCAAACCAAACCAATTAGTCGGTTTTTCACGATTCGGTTTATGTCGGGTTTTTCGGTTTTTTTGGTTATTTGTCGGTTTTTTCTTAAATATAAGACATACACTACCAAACACATATTCCGGCGACCATATTTTCAAAGTAACACTATCAAATTAATTGCCCTTTGAGAAATCTGTTATTTACCGAGATATATTGATGATAATTGAATCAAATAATGCTGAATAATTTAAGGACTCAATTAAAATATGTTATTTTTAACACGAAATGAATTCCTACACTAAACAAAAGAAAACTACCAATCAAACTAGAATGTAAAGGTAAAGAACTATATTAAAAGTGCAAAATTAACATTTACCATAAATTTTTTGAAACTTTGTATAACAATATACATATATATAGGTGTAATAATGAATTTGAAATAGCTACTCCTATATTCGGTTTGGTTCGGTTTTTTTCTGATTAAAACCAAAACCAAACCAAATTTGATCGGTTCTTAAAATTCAAAACCAAAACTAAACCAAACCAAAATGTATCGGTTTTTTTGGTCAGTTTGGTTTGGTTTTCGGTTTGGTTCGGTTTTTCGGGTTTTTATGAACACCCCTATATTTGACCCAAAGTTTAGAAAATTTATTAGAGAAATTTACGATAACTTTTGCCGACCTTTATTTCGCAACTTGCTTGACTCCAAAACTTAACATGTGACCAGTGTGATATTATAATACCTCATAACACATTATTCTTAGCATATTAGACACTCTTGGTCTTATTCCACATGTGTAAATTAACTTAAACCTTTCGAACGCGCGCGGTGCCACCCGAGCCATTTTTTTAACCATGAACCTTTGTTTAAGGGATTACTTTGACCTACAGCTTTAGTTTAGTTCCTTGATATTACCACACATTTTCATTCTTATTCTCCCAATGTGCTACACCCAATCATATATACCTAATATAACCACGCCATGTTACGTATATTACGTAAGAGAAAAAGAAAAAAACATGTGGTCTCACAGGTTGGCTTTTGGAACAACTCTGGGCACGTTCGAGGATGAACGTATGTTTAAGTGGGGGAGGATGTAACGACCGGACCGGTCGTTTTGAGCTTTTGCACATTGCTCGCCAGTTATCGGGCATGACTTGCCCCGTGTGGTGTATTATGACTTATGTAAATCGTTGGTTTTAGCTTTCAGGGTAATTGGAATGAATTTGGAAGAACAATTCCTGATTTGAAGCTTGAAATTTGAAAGGACCAATATTTGACTTGTTTGTATATGATCTCGGATCGGGATTTTTATGATTTGGTTAGCTCTATTAGGTGGTTTGAGACTTGGGAGTGTGATCGGAATGCATTTTGGGAGTCCGTGGAAGGTTTAGGCTTGAATTAGCGGAATTGAGATTTCGGCATTTTTCGGTTGATAGGTGAGATTTTGATAAAGAGGTCGGAATGAAATTCCGGAAGTTGCAGTAGTTCTGTCATGNAAATGAGCAGACTTTGTAAGCCTATCAATAATTACCCAAATAGTATCATACCTCCAAGGAGTGCAAGGCAAACCAGTGATGAAGCCCATATTTATCATGTCCCATTTCCATAATGGAAGTTCAATATACTGAGTTAGGCCTCCAGGCCTCTGATGTTCGGCTTTAACTTGCTGGCAGTTGGGACATTGGGCTACCATCTCCGCGATATCTTTTTTCATTCCATTCCACCAATAGATCTGTCGAAGGTCTCGATACATCTTTGTCGCTCCGGGGTGAACTGCATATCTAGAATAATGGGCCTCCGAGAGAATCTTGGCGCGGAGCTCTCCGACTGTCGGTACACATAGGCGGCTCTGGTATCTAAGGACTCCATCTTCAGTTAGCTCAAATAAAGGTTGTCGCTACTGTGGAATACTTTCCCTCAGTTTTATAAGCTCAGGATCCTCGTGTTGTCGCTCTTTCACTTCAGTAACAAAAGAAGATTTTGCTGTATTCTGAACGAGAATGTGTCCACCCTCTGCGTCTACCAAATGCACCTGCAAATTAGCTAACTGACATCGATATTTGGTCATCTTGACCTTATCAGCTTCAACATGGCTTAGATTGCCCATGGACTTCCGGCTAAGGGCATCAGCAACAATATTAGCTTTGCCGGGATGATATAAAATATCAACATCTTAGTCCTTTAGTAATTCTAGCCATCTTCTTTGTCGTAGGTTCAGCTCCCTCTGTTTAAATAAATACTAAAGGCTCTGGTGGTCGGTAAAAACATCAATATGAACCCTATATAGATAATGCCGATTTTAGGGCGAAGACAACCGTGGCTAACTCAAGATCGTGCATCTGTTCATGTTTCCGCAACTGCCTAGAGGCGTACGCGATAGCCTTACCATGCTGCATAAGAACACAACCTAGGCCAATCCTCGAGGCATCACAATATACAACATAACCCTCGGTGCCATCTGAAAGAGTCAAGACATGTGCCGTCGTAAGCCTTTTCTTTAGCTCCTGAAAACTTTGTTCACATGCCTCAGTCCACTAAAACTTAGCTCCCTTATGTGTCAGTTTCGTCAATGGTGCAGAGATAGAGGAAAATCCCTCCACAAACCTTCGGTAATACCCTGCCAAGCCTAAAAAGCTACGAACCTCTGTCGGATTCAAGGGCCTCGGCCAAGTCATCACAGCTTCAATCTTTTGGCCATCAACCTTGATACCATCGCCGGTAATAACATGACCAAGAAAAGCTACAGAAGTTAGCCGAAATTCACATTTAGAGAATTTAGCATATAACCTGTAGTCCTGGAGAGTCTGCAATACAGCTCGCAAGTGGTCTGCATGCTCGGCTTCCGATTGTGAATATATCAGGATGTCGTCAATAAACATAATCACAAATTCATCCAAGAATGGTTTGAATACCCGGTTCGTAAGATCCATAAAGGCTGCTGGGGCATTTGTAAGCCCGAAAGACATGACAAGGAATTCAAAATGGCCATACCTCGTCCTAAATGCTGTTTTTGGGATATCAATATCCCTGACTGTAGCTGATGATAACCGGATCGCAAGTCGATCTTCGAAAAGCATTTGGCACCTTGTAACTGGTCGAATAAGTCATCAATCCGTGGAAGAGGATACTTATTCTTGATAGTGACTTTATTTAGTTGCCTGTAGTCAATACACATCCGCAAGGAGCCATCTTTCTTTCGAACAAAGAGCACCGAAGCACCCCATGGGGATGTACATGGCCTTATAAAGCCCTTATCAAGCAAGTCCTTCAGTTGTTCCTTCAATTCCCTTAGCTCTGCAGGAGCCATTCTGTAGGGAGGAATGGATATAGGCTGCGTATCAGGAAGCAAATCTATAGCAAAATCGATTTCCCTTTCGGGGGGAATTCCTGGAAGCTCGTCAGGGAATACCGTCGGGAATTCATTCACAATAGGAACTGACTGAAGAGTCGCTGGCTCCTTATCTATATCCCTGACATGAACCAGATGGTATATACATCCTTTAGCAATAAACTTCTGAGCCCTAAGGTATGAAATAAACTTACCCTTGGGCGTGGCTGCATTACCTTTCCATTCAAGGACAGGCTCACCAGGAAAATGAAATCGAACCACCTTTGCACGACAATCAATATTAGCATAACAAGCTGCCAACCAATCCATACCCATAATGACATCGAAGTCTAGCATAACCAATTCAACTAAATCAATAGAGGTTGGACGGTCATTAATTAACACTGTACAACCTCGATAGACATGATTAGCTACAATAGAGTCGCCAACTGGCGTAGACACCTCAACTGACTGTGGCAACAACTCAGATCTCATGTCAAGCTTACCAGCAATAAATGGAGTAATATATGAAAATGTAGAGCCGGGATCTATCAATGCATAAATGGCATGAGAATGTATTGTCAATATACCTGTGACAACATCTGGGGATGCCTCTAAATCCTGTCGGCCTGTGAGTGCATAAAAGCGGTTCTGGCCACCACTAGAACCTGAGGTGTCTCCTCCACCTCTCCCCCTACCACGGCCCTGAGTAGACTGTGGACCTGGTCGGGGAGCACGGACTGAGGGCGAAGAGGCTGCTGTGGATCCTGAAGGCTGAGCTGGTGCACCTCTGCCTAACCCCGGGCACCGGCTAATAAAATGTCCTGTCTGCCCACAATGATAACATGCACTCGAACCCTGTCTACACTGCCCGGTGTGCAGCTTACCGCACTGAGTACATGGAGGAGTAGGCTGTCTCATTTGTGCGGAACGCTCCTGTCGACGGCCCTCAGGCTGGCCTGAGCTCTGCCCCGGTCCTGACTGAATATAACGATCAAACCGCTGGCCCTGCATCTGTGGTGGGAAACTACCTGCTGACCGAGGTGGATATCGATGGAGTGGGGGCCTAAAATCACCCCGTGGCTCCCTATAAGACCCCATAGTACGAGCCCTCTTACTCTGCTCCCTATCCCTACGAGTATCACGAATCCGACGGGAAAGGTCCTCTGTAGTCTGAGCGAAAGCCTGTATGCGGGAAATATCTACATCATCCGATAGGGATGCCACCCTACAGTCTCTAATCAGATGATCCCCCAAACCATCCACATAATGATGAACTCTAGCCCTCATGGTACGTACGATATCTGGTGCATACCTCGCCAAAGAATTAAACTTATGGCTATAATCCCTCACACTCATATCCCCCTGCTTCAGGCTAAGAAACTGGTCAAGACGGGCCTCCCGAACCTCCCGTGGCAAATAATGGGCTAAAAACGCCTCAGAGAAGTCCTCCCACTCTGCTGGCGGAGCATCAGGTCCTCTAGATCTCTCCCATGCCTCATACCATAGGACGGCTACATCACGTAGTCGAAAAGAAGCCAACTCCACAGCCTCTGTGACGGAGGCATGCATCACCCTCAATACTCTATACATATTGTCTATAAAGTCCTGGGGATCCTCAGTGGAACTGGATCCTGTAAATAATGGAGGGGCCAAGTGAAGAAACTCTCGTACCGTCGAGCTTCCTGTCCGATCTCTCCGGGCATCTGCTCCCGACTCTAGCTGTNATTTTTTGCCTTCGACCTTGGAGCTTTTTGGGTCGATGCTGAAGAGAGAAATCAAGAGACTTCGTTAAGGTAAGAAATTTTGGACCTAAAACTCAATTCTATGGTTGTACTTCATGAATTTAGGGCTGTAATTAAAGGAATAAAGGGCCAAAATGAAGGATTAGGGCTCGAGTTTAAGAGGCCTTTAAATGGGGATTTGAGGGATCATTTGGACTCCGATTTTAGTATTTTTGATATGTATGAACTCGTGGGGAGACAAGGAATATATTGATGTGAAAATTTCTAAGTTTCGAGAAGTGGGCCCGGGGCTAGGCTTTTGCTAATTTCGGGATTAGTGCCCTTTATTGATTGTTTTCGCTTGGGCTTTGTTCCCTTGGCATATTTTGACGTCCTCGTTCTGACTTTGGATTGATTCAACGCGCGTGGAGGCCGATTTGAGGGGCAAAGGCGTCGTAAGCTAGAGATGTAGCTGGTTCAAGGTGAGTAATGATTGTAAATGATGTTCTGAGGGTTTGAAACCCCGGATTGCACATCGTAGTGCTATATTGAGGTGAGGCACACGCTTGATGACGTGCGTGGGGTCGTGCACTTTTGGGGACTGTGACTTGGTCCGTCCCGATTGATGATTTTACCACGTATTTGACTAAAATCTATTTGTTATCATCATTATTTGGGTACATGAGAAATCTATTATTTGTTATCTATTTGTTATCTCATGAGAAATCTATTTGTTATCATCATTATTTGTTATCATCAATGGAAAGTTCTTGGTTGGTTGAGTACATAGTTGCATGTGGCTCGGAAGGGATATGAAATTGTCATGTTATTTTAGGATGTATTGGTATATGCGGTATGTGTGGAGGATTGAGATTTACGTGTGTAAGGTTACGGTTCAGTTCTAAACGGAAGGCCATAAAATTCTTAGGCAGCGGGCAGTTTCAGATAATTAGAGAAATGAGCTTCAGATGATTAGGGAAATGATCTTCAGGTGATTAATGAAATGGTATTGCTAGTTGGATGTAATTTGACGAGGGTATATGTTTCAGAAAAGGCAATGTGATTAAGTTGATGGTACTTCGGTAGTATTGCGACACTTTCTTGTAGATTGGCTGCTAATATCCGAGTTTGCTTGGAGGCACAGAAGAATGTTAGAGTATCTCTCGTGGAATGATTGGGTATTAAAGATGTGGTATGTATTCAGACGGAGGAACTGGGATCAGGTGTGGTGATTCGTGTGCTATATGGAGTTGGAGACTGGAAGTTCTCATATTCAGGTTATGTTGTAACGTCGGGTCGTGTGTATCGGCACTGTGTAGTGACTATCGGGGTCTGGAGACCCGAGTGGATCTTTTGCAGCTTGGTATGTCAGATTTTGGATGTGATGTTGGGTGCAGACTGGTTGTCTCCGTGTTGTGTTATTCTTGACTATTGTGCTAAGGTCGTGCTGTTGGCTATGCCGGGAACGACACAGATTGAGTGGTGAGGTTCGACAGATCATGTTCTTGGTAGGGTGGTTTCATATTTCGAAGACCAGCGGACGACTGTGAAGGATTTTCTTTCTTATTTGGGCTCTCGTGATGGATGTCAGTTAGAGGCTCCTCATATTGATCCGGTTCTGGTGGTGAGGGACTTTTCGGATGTGTTTCTTGTGGCCGGCATGTCATCGGGAAAGGTAGTTGATTTCGGTACTAATTTGATGCCGGGCACCGTATCGTATGGCACCTGCAGAGTTAAAGGAGTTAAAGGAGCAGCTTCAGGATTTCCTTGATAAGGGGTTCGTTGGGTGGATCCGTGTTCTAACTAGAGTCGACTTGGTTGGCTCCGGATTGTATTGTTGAGGGATGTGTTGATTCAATTGTTATTGAGCTTATTAGTAATCTGGGGAGATCTATGAGTTACCTTTCTGTGTTGCGAGGTGTTATGATTTGTGGGTTGTAGGCACATATGGTGCGATTCTATTGGGGTCTCTCAGTGGAGCTCGAGCGGGAGGAATATTGGATATTGCTCGGCGGATGGCGTATCGGTTATATACTTTTCGGTTGTGTGGTGTAGGTATTTGCTTCACTGTGGTTATGTTGATTTGCTTTGGTTCCAGACATCAAATTGTGCGTGGTTGTCGATTTCGAGCATAGTGACTTGAGGTGTTTCATGTGGAGCAGTGTTTGGTTAGGATCGCGCATTTGCAGCGAAGCTATGTGGAGATATGACATTGCGGGTTAGATTCATGTGTTCTGTTTCTATGCTGTGAGACGGGTTCTCAGCCTTGTGTTGTGGTGGTACTGGTGAGCTTGCGGTACAGCTCTTTCATTTGAGTCACTTCCATGATTTGAGTATGTTCGGATTGTTCTTATTGGTGCGCGGATTGTGCACGTTGTAGCTTTAGTATGTATTGAGGTGTCATGTCACCAGAGTGGTTGTGTTGGATTAGATGAGATCATTGGGATCTTCAATGAATACGAACGGGTTCGATTTCAACATGTCGGAAGGATAAAGATTGAGGTTCGGCTCAGAAATTTGCTATGGTCCTTGCCAAAGGAGACGTGGCTTCATGAATGGTTGATCTGAGGGATGGTTATGGTTTACTGCGTGTTTTATCTATCATTGGCAACATATGGAAGTGTTGGAATGAGACTTTAGTGATAAGAGTTTTTCCATCGGTATTCGGGTGTTGTGTGCAGCTGCTGTGATTAGAAGTTAACACTACAAGTGTTTGAGTTATGTGGTATATCATGTGATTGCACCTGAGATAGCAGGTACGGGTGATTACAGCTGGTTCGGGATTATTCAGAGTATAGACGTGAGAATCTGATTGTATTGAAGATTTCAGAAGTGGAAATATGGTTCTATGGTTTATGGGCTAGACTGAATTGTGAAATTTCAGTTACGATGTGTTATCGGACCTATATGAGATAGGGTTACGTGGGATCACCCCCCGGGTATATGCGTGGTAAGGTTATTCGGCGATTGGTTGGCTTTTGGAACAACTCTGGGCACGTTCGAGGACGAACGTATGTTTAAATGGGGGAGGATGTAACGACACGACCGGTCATTTTGAGCTTTTGCACATTTCTTGCCAGTTCTCGGGCATGACATGCCCCGTGTGGTGTATTATGACTTATGTAAATCGTTGGGATTGGCTTTCAGGGTAATCGGAATGAATTTGGAAGAACAGTTCCCAGTTTGAAGCTTGAAATTTGAAATGTTTGACCAATATTTGACTTGTTTGTATATGATCTCGGATCGGAATTTTTATGATTTGGTTAGCTGCATTAGGTGATTTGAGACTTGGGAGCGTGATCGGAATGCATTTTGGGAGTCCGTGGAAGGTTTAGGGTTGAATTTGCGAAATTGAGATTTCGGCGTTTTCCGGTTGATAGGTGAGATTTTGATATAGAGGTCGAAATGAAATTCCGGAAGTTGCAGCAGTTCCGTTATGTCATTTTTGATGCGTGTGCAAAATTTCAGGTCATTCAGACGTGGTTTGGTATACTTTTTGATCAAAAGCGGAATGCGGAAGATTTTAGAACCTTAGGCTTGAATTCGATGTGTTTTGGTGGTTTTGATGTTCTTTAAGGTGTTTTGAGGATTGGTACAAGTTCGAATAAGGTTATGGGATATGTTTGTGCTTTTGGTTGAGGTCTCGGGGGCCTCGGGATGGTTTTAGATGGTTATCAGGAAATCAGACTTGGAGTTTTGCAGCAGAAAATTTGCTGCCTCTGTTGTTTCCGCACCTGCGGACTGGTGACCGCAGGTGCGACGCCGCTGGTGCATAAAAGAGACCGCAAAAGAGGTGCTGGCCGCAGAAGCGGAGACTTTGACCGCATCTGCGGAACCGCAGGTGCGGTACTTGGGTCGCAGATGCGGAATCTGAAGGAGTAAGTGAATCCGCAGAAGCGGGTGTTTTTCTGCAGAAGCGGAAGCGCAGGTGTGCTTATGGTATCGCAGGTGCGGAAAGGCCTGGGCAGAGCATATATGTTATTTCATTTCGCGAGTTTGGGTTATTTCACCATTTTTGCCTTCGACCTTGGAGCTTTTTGGGCGATGCTGAAGAGAGAAATCAAGAGACTTCGTTAAGGTAAGAAATTTTGGACCTAAAACTCAATTCTATGGTTGTACTTCATGAATTTAGGGCTGTAATTAAAGGAATAAAGGGCCAAAATGAAGGATTAGGGCTTGAGTTTAAGAGGCCTTTAAATGGGGATTTGAGGGATCATTTGGACTCCGATTTTAGTATTTTTGATATGTATGAACTCGTGGGGAGACAAGGAATATATTGATGTGAAAATTTCTAAGTTTCGAGAAGTGGGCCCGGGGCTAGGGTTTTGCTAATTTCGGGATTAGTGCCCTTTATTGATTGTTTTCGCTTGGGCTTTGTTCCCTTGGCATATTTTGACGTCCTCGTTCTGATTTTGGATTGATTCGACGCGCGTGGAGGCCGATTCGAGGGGCAAAGGCGTCGCGAGCTAGAGATGTAGCTAGTTCAAGGTGAGTAATGATTGTAAATGATGTTCTGAGGGTTTGAAACCCCGGATTGCACATCGTAGTGCTATATTGAGGTGAGGCACACGCTTGATGACGAGCGTGGGGTCGTGCGCTTTTGGGGACTGTGACTTGGTCCGTCCCGATTGATGATTTTATCGCGTATTTGACTGAAATCTATTTGTTATCATCATTATTTGGGCTGCATGCCATATTTGGGCTTCGTGCCAACTATCTGGACCCTTCGGGGATCTTTGTTGATATTTCCTCACTATTTTGACTTTATACTTAAACTCAGTCATGTTACTTTCCACTGTTTTCAAAACTCAGCCATGTTCACTCAGTGTTAATACTCAAATGATATTTGAATGATGTTTTGGGATGAGA